CTGTAACGCTGTCTGTAACACAGACTGTAATGCTGTCTGTAATGCAGCCTGTAACGCTGTCTGTAACGCAGTCTGTAACGCAGCCTGTAATACTGCCTGTAACGCTGTCTGTAACACAGACTGTAACGCAGTCTGTAACGCTGTCTGTAATGCAGCCTGTAACGCTGTCTGTAACACAGACTGTAACGCAGTCTGTAACGCTGTCTGTAATGCAGCCTGTAATGTTGTCTGTAATACAGACTATAACACACCCTGTAACATTGCCTATAACGCAGCCTGTAATGATGTTTTCATTTCACTATCCTTTTTAATCATTTGGTACAAAGACACACTTTCTTTTGCATCCATCTCAGTTTTCAGGAAAGCCCCCCCCCCACACACACCTCTAAACATTCTGGAGATTCAGCTGCAAATGTCTTCCACTGCTCCAGGCTGTAGTGCTTGTGGATGGCAGTGAAGAGGGTGTGCTGGCAGGAGAGGAGCACAGGGGGATAGAGAGTCACAGCACTGCCTTCGCTGAGGCACAGACACCTTCAAAAGCCCTGAATCAGTCACTCCCTGCTCCACCAGTCGAGAGGCATCCGCTCCTGAATCAGGCCACCACCGTGGCTAGTGTGTAAGATACGATAACCGTGGGTGATGCACGACTGCATCTGTACCAGGACCCAGAAAAATGTCTGTCACATCAAATACACAGGTGATCTCTTTGAGAACAAGAATGCTGTCAGCAGTGTGGATCGACCCTGACGTCTCTGAACCCTGTGGTTCAGATTAGTAGATTATCTGATGTTTATTTAATCATTCGCTATGTGAAGGGCACCCTTATTAATTAATTCTGACAGCTCAGACGTAACACTGACATAAGTAATTACATTGTTAATAAGTTACCCTCTCTAGGTATTATACGATTAGCTGGTTATATTGCTGAAGATGCTCAGAGGTAGTTTTCTATTTATAGAATCTGGGATCATGTTTTACATGGTTCTAATCATGGTTTAATTCCCCGAAACACATTAATTAAAATGTACAGTGTGGGTTTCAATTTCCCATGAATATTTCATGGTCTTACACCAGTAGAGGTACTCCCACTCCCCACCATGCGGGGGCGCACTTCCACCCTAGTCGCGCTGGACTTACTCTGCTCAGCACCCGGGCCATCTCAAAGGTGCCCGTGGTGTCCATGTTGGCCGCAATGATGGGGATGCCCTGGTAGGCCTGCTTGGAGTTCCTGAAGGTGAAGCTGCGCTGCAGGTCCACCTGCAGGGGGCGGTATGCGCCATGAGGGCACCCATAGGGCAGCAGTGGTGTCACCTTGACTTACAGAGTGACCCAATGTCCAGTCTCCCGAACACAATACCATTATTACACCGATAGTCACTACGCTGCAGGTACCTTACTGAACATGTGCACCATTGCTTTGGGCTGAAAGGGGAAGGGCAGGCAGTGGAGGAGGAGTCCAGGAGGGGGGGGAGGGAAAATAGAGTGGGGGGGGGGCAGGACAGAGAGAGTTTGAGAGAGCAAGAGAGAGAGAGGAGAGACAGCAGGAGGACGGTATGTGCAAACATACACATCCCGGAAGGGGAGCTATTTTTGGACACACCTTCCCGGAGCTGGTGTCACGTTATTCTCGTCTCCCAGAGCCCGGTGCTGACCCCAGTAGGGCTCTGCAGAGGGCAGAGGCCCTGGGCCCTGAGGGGACAGGCAAACGGGTGTCCCCGTGGCCCACACACCGGTACAGGGCGCCCGGCTGTCCCGTTCTACTGGGTGTCACCCGCACTCCAGAAGTCAACAGTCGCGTCACATCCACAGGCCCACGGCTCCCTTCTCACTAGAGGCCTGCTTTTGGCCAGCGGGTCCCTGTCACACTAACAGCACCAATAGGATGGGGGGGAGAGGTGGCATACCTCAGAGCGGCTCCTCAGGCTGCTCCTCTTAGGTCTGAAGAGGACGTCCTTGAAGTCCAGCTTGAGGTCAGCGTCCACCCTCGGCATAGTGAAGGCCCACAAGGAGGCACGAGTTTCCACAGAACCGCAACCAGCACCAAAGCTGAGCTCCGGCCACCAAACCCGAACCTCCAGGCGCCGAGTGTATATATAGCCTGGGGGTGGGGCATGGCAGCCGCGGCCCCCTGTCTTTATTTGGAGTGTGGAGCTGCAGGGACAGCCGGGCCTCTCAGTCCCATGTGACTGGTTGGCTTTCAAACTACCTGCACGTGGTGCCCAAAGTAACCAAACATCTACAAGACTTTCGACATTTTTACTTTTTTGATTGCAGTCACAGGTTTTTTTTCGAATTGAGTTTCCCCTTGCGGGGACTGAAAAAATGCCCCTACGAGGTCAAAATGACAGGTTTTTATCCTATTATGGGGACATTTGGGAGAGCATACAGGAGAGCAGAAGATGGAGAAGAGCAGAGGATGGAGGGAAGGAAAAGAAGGAAAGCAGAAGATGGGGAGAACACAAGGAGAAGAGCAGGGTATGGAGCAGAGATCTTTTATGATGGTATCACAACATGCTTCTGTATCTGAGTAATTGTTTGACAGCCCTATTAACCATCTTTGCTTATTTTGAAATGTTGATCATCTTCTTATCTCCAGGTCACTTACAGTGTTTGTTTTTGGTTACCCCATGCTAAGCTAACAGGGTCCTTGACAGCATTACCCTCCACCTGCCTCACAATACTCTGGCGAATCCATCTGAGACAACGTGAAATCAGCTGATAAGTTGGCGCACCCTCAGAAATTAGTGCCCTAGGTGGCCGCCTTTGACAATACGATTGACTGGCGCTGCTGAAAAGTTAATTTCAAATATTTAATAGCTGGTGCAATACAACACTTGGCCACACGGTGTAGTAAAGTCAAAGGAAACGTTTAAGGCCCAGTATGCAAGCGTACATTGTGCCGCAATATATGCTTGATTTAAGTTTAATTTTAATTTAGTTCGGTCTTGTGCTTCAAAACGTTTTTAGAATGAATAAAATAATTCGACTTCTTCTTAAAAGCAAATGCAATTATGCTGTGGGCTACTAGATGTAGTAAAGGCATATCATTAGATATAGGCCTACAGTACAACAGGCAAATATAATGACAGTACATTCTCCTAGTACCCATCTGGGCTTTTGTTCAATAAAAGAAAAGTGAACTAAATCCAGACAAATGGGAAAATGAAGGATCGGAGGGAGATTATCTGTGATCAGTTGTGCTTATTAAAACTACTCGTGACCTTATACCAATGGTCATAAGACAGTCAGCATTTAGCGCAAGCCTTTAATTATGGTGTACTTTAGCCTAAACTGACTTGTTGGCTTTAATTAGCCCAGTTGCCCATTTATACTGCAAGCAAGTTCAAGATAACGTGGAGTCTTTATTTTACTGAATAACCCTTGTATCTCTGGCATTCTGCCTGTCCTTCCCCTGCGTCGCTTTGGCGATGGAGCTTGAGGTACCAGCGGAGACGATTACTGCCAAACCTTTTTCCAGTGTGTCCTGTAGAGACCCCAACTGCGCTGCCTTGTGTTGGGCGCAACTAGAGAGGCATGGAGACTATCAGAGAGCCAGGATTTTAAAAGTATATCATCAACTACAGACCGTTAGAGGTCATAATTAAATTAAATGAAGACATGATTAATTACCTTGTATCTCATTACCCTCTTGCTGATAGTCTGTATTTAAGCATATGGAACATAACTGCACTTCCAATTTTCAGATCTACGAATCATCTTGGCAATTGGTGAAAAGCTTATGTTACAGGAGTAAAAACCATACATTAGAAAATAAACATGTGTACTTGTACTTTATTATTGCTAATCATTTCCACTGAAAGACTTTATTCATTATTGATTTAATGCATCATTAATTAGTCCTTAATTAGTAGGTTGCGTACAAGATGTCCTACTTATTACTGTAATGTTAATTACTTTATATAAAGTACTATGTCCTCAGGTGGTGTATGTGTGTGGGCGTGCATGTGTGTATCTATCTATCTATCTACATGCGTATGCTGCTTCACAAAAGCGAATGCTTCTCGTACTTTGCTTTTTCTAGATGGCAAACATTGTACCATGAACAACCTTAAACACACAATGAGGTTCAGTCATACACGCGCACACACAGTATTCTCTGCTTTTAACTCTGCATCCCTGGCGTTTCAGCTGCTTCTGGTTTTATGGCACTTTAATTAGCACCTCGCTGCCACATTAATCCTGAGGTGAGATTAAGTATCATCCAGTTAATTATTCTAAATAGCTTCGACAAAAACCGTCAGACCCCGAGGCATTTGCAGTGTGCATATATCTGCTGTATGTCCATCCTTCACGTGGGGTTGGGTCAAGGACTTCAAGATCAGGACTGAAATGAAGAAAACTTGGTGACACAATTCCCTCTGGCATATAGATAGATACGTACTGGCTGGTAAATGAGATACTCGCGACTCATGGAAAGAAAATCATAACCACGTAAGCTACCTTTTACATAAGCACAAGATAAATAAGTGTGCAGTGACCCTTGGGACAATGTGTAACGCGTCATACAGAATGGAGGAGACGGGGACTAGCATCCATATGCCAGAATCGCAGCTGCACGCGATGTAGAAAAAGTAAAAACGCACAGCACGCGTTCCCAGTGGGAGCGTCCTGCCCGAGCCGTCGGCCGCTCTGGTCTGTGGGAACAGAACTGGTTGCACTGGAGCGTCCCGCCCCGTCCCGTCACGCACACGCGGCACGCGCTCCCTGTCAAAAGGCGTCAGTGCCAGATCTGAGGATCGCAGCATGTCCGAGTTCTCTCGGGAATTACCACTGCGGGGCAAGTGTTTGCAAAACATGCAGTCAGCGTAAAACCTTCCCCGGCATTAATAAGAGGAGCGTCGAGTCCCATCCCCAGCGTGTCTGTGATAGAATAAGCAAAGAAAAACACCATGTTGTTGACTAGGGAGACCAGAGCCAGTGCAGCGTTCATTCAGGCAGAACTGTGTGTATCTGTCTTCAGAACTGGCGGAATTCCAGGGCTTCCTCTATAGACACAAAACACGGGCGTCGCGCGTTCATGAAATACCTGCAGTAAATCTCACAAATGCGAAGACCAAGCACCCAGTACAGAGGAACGTCCATAACAGAAAAACCGATCGGAGGTGATAGAAAGCAAACGTAAGTACCGTGCCGGTGCCACCAGGGGGCACTAGAGGTCATTCTAAGTGTCAAAGACACCAAGGACAAAAGTTTCTCCCCGATCACCAGTCAGCAGATTGCTGGGAACCTGGAGGTGAACTCGGTGTCAATACAGCATATACTGTACTGTACCTCAGTACGCTCTATCTTAATGAGGCACTTCGGTATGTACTTCATAAAAAGCGCGTCACATACCATTAGTGCAGATAAGGCACACAGACACACTGACCGGAATCGGATCTAGGTCATTTTCGGCGGAGGACGTTTCTTTTCTTAGAGAAAACCTCCACGTACGTATAGAAGTCGTCTGCTGGCGTAGCTTTTCAGTGTGAGAGTTACAGGAGCCAGACTCCAAGCCCTAAATTCCAGCTTCTACATCTGGGTCAGCCTCCACTTGCGGAGACAGGCGGTGAAATCAAAACAGAAAGGTAACCAGTGTCAGGACGATAAGCTGTCTGTGCGATACAGGGTGCGAATAAACAAGCTGATCATAGAAGGACAAGCCTTAATAATTATCATGGAACCACACTTAATCGTGCTACTGGCAGCCTACAAGACATATGGAGTACCCTGCCTCCACACTATCGCCCCCTGCAGGCCACACACCAGGTCATCTTCCACACAGAGTCCCAGCAGGCCACCAGGCACAGATAAAAGCGAAGTTGCTCACGCAAGACAGGGCTGCTCCAGTTAATCTTCAGCCTGGATTCACACTGAGCCCTTAACCTGTGACCCAACTTCACAGCTATAAACGGTACAGGGGGGGCAGGCAGCGTTTGTCTGGTTGTCTGATAAGAAAAGAGGGAGACTGGAGAGCTTTATTAAAAAAAAAAGGCAACTTTATTAATACTTTTTCTTCAAGAAAATATAAAATCAGTTAAGGACATAGCATAGTTTTTTGCTTCAAACAAATAGAAACAAACTGCAGAGGTGTAGAGCAGGGCCCCCCCCCCCACCACCCACCACTCACCCCCCCACGGAGGCCCTCCCCCAGAGGAGACAACGGTGCCGCTGTCCGTGTTTCAACGTGCAAAGGAACAGGATGCATATAGAAGACAGGGTGTAGATAAGGCAGACCCTCAGGAACACATCGTGGAGGAAGCGTCCCGGCTAAAGTGACAGTGTCTTTAAATAACCCCCCCCCCCCTCCCCAAAAAAAAGCTCAGCTTTCAGAAATACCTAGTATTGCACACAGATCTACTAGTTATGTATGATTTGTGAAGATTTAACTAGTGGATCAAACCAGAAGTGGGATAAACTTGCCGGCGGGACAGAGGCAAAAACTCACATCATGATTAATATTCAGCTTAGTTATACTTTCAAGTAAGACAGTAATCGGCTGAGGCACAGCGACTGACTAGGGCATCTCCTGGTTTCGCTTTCGCCGTATCACCAGTGTGATAAGGCATCCCCCTTTCACCGAGATACCGCCGGGAGCCTGCTAGGCCAGTTTGACGGAGATAGGCTGCTCCTATCAGACATGGCCGGGGTCACATGGTTCGGGGACAGTGCCGGGACTGGACGCTCATTGCTCGTCAGTGTAAGTGCATGGGAGCAGAACCATAGAACTTATTGCATGTTCACTATAATAAACTGGAAGAGGATTTAAAACGTAAATTTAAATAAGCATTAAAATAAAGTAAAACTGGCAAATACATAGAATTTACATTTGTCTGACTTTCACTGGATTAGGAAAAAAACAGCAGAGACATGTTGTAGATAGCGCTCCTCAGGTCAATTGATTCACTTCGGTTAAAAAAAAATATATATATATTTAAAGTAAATATTTAAAATACACAGATTGTCAGAGGATCTTAAAACATATCTCAGTGACGGCTGGTTGAAGTCTGTGGTGTTTGGCCGGGAAGGGCCGACCTTCACGTGCGGCACATCTCTGGGTCGAATTCACTGGAGCAACCGAGAGGGGGCACCCCCTGGTGGATGGGAGGAGGAGTGACGTCTGTCCCCGCCAGGCTAAACAAACTGGCGCAGGTAGGCAGGTAGACATGTTGTGCACGCTCCACTCTCGCCCGGCACACTGGGCATGACTGCAAAGACAGTGGCACAGATCAGTGAGTGCAACATCGCCCCTTTCGTGCACACAGCATCCATTAAGACGCCAACCGTCGTGTTTGCAGGATGCCAAAGCTCGCTACCCGCTACCCTAACCTCGACATATGCCAAACTATGCAACTCACACAGGAAGGAGAGACTTGTAAGAAAAAAACAGAAGTAGCACATAAACACATACTAGCAACTAAAAATACTTCTTCCCACTTTGTACTAAACGTTTAACGTGCAGCTAAAACGGGCTTACAGGAAGTGTGCATTGCAGATGGACATTTGCTCACGAGTCTACGAGTCACTTTCTGAAGAAACTCATGACATTCCCAGAGGCTTCTGGGAACCCCCTAGACACATACTCTCCACAGGTCAGAACTGCGCAGACCCAGTTAGAATTAAATCAGAACCAGTCAGAACCACTCCCCCCTTACCTGCAGCTGGGCTGCGCAGCCCTGGCAGCAGACCATGTGACCACAGGGGCAGAAGGCAGTGTCAGTCTCCCCTTCACAGCAGAGCGTGCACAACAGCGCCTCCCGCAGCCTCTCCAGCCTCTCCAGCAGGGCGCGGCTCTGCGGGCAGCTGCCGCAGTCGGGCTCGCCCTGAGTGGCGGGGGCCCCGAGTGGCGAGTGGGGGGGCGCGTACTGTCCGGCACGCACCACCAGGTCCACCAGGCCGGCATTGTAGAGCACGCGGCGCGCGTGGTCATACACCTCTTTGGAGGTGCGCCGGATATCGAAGACGTATTTCTTGCCCAGGTTGACATTCTCGTTGAGGAACAGGGACGCCAGATGGCCCTTGAAGTCGCGGCTGTACTGCATCATGACAGCGTTGGTCACCGTGTCACACCTGAAGACCCCCCCCCCAGAAACAGATTAAATGAACTGGTCCATTCAGATTTCCCTGTAGTAACACCCACTGCAAAGCCGTAATTTCTATAATAGAGGGTATCAGAGATACGAAAGATTAATGTATGTGGGTATTTGTCTCTAATAGCCCAGTTTTCCCAAACGGGCAGTAAAAGGCCTTCCCAGCGGGGGGGTCCCAAGCCGCACTATACAAACAGCTGACGCGCTGGTTTACATTGGAACGACCATCAGAAGTCAGTTCAAACAAACCAATGTAAGCTTTTGAATACAAACAACATGCACAGCTGAGACGTATCTGAATGGGTCATTGTTACTCCATGTCAGCTGCCAATGGCAAAGCGGCTCATGAAAGGCTGTTAAACAAGACCTTAGCCCACAGCCATATTTACCAAAACCATTAACAGGACTGAGGGAAACCCCAAACCAAAAGTAAACAACGAAGACGAGAGACAGTGGGATACAAGCCGAAAGCGCGTCGTTATGGAAAGTGGAGCTGAACACGCACACGCACACGCACACGCACTGACCGGTAGAAGGCGTGTGTCTCGGTGATGGCCCGGTAGAGTCCGCTGGCCGCCCGGCTACTGATCAGCTTGAAGAGCAGCACCACGCTGTCGCCAGACTCCTTGGTCACCGTCAGGTAGACGCTCTTTCCTGACTGGGTCGCTATCTGGATAACCGGATAGGCGATCCTTTGACCAGAGAGACGGGTGCGTGTTTGGTCAGCGCCGCAAAAAAAAGCCGACTGCAGCAATTACCCAGAATGCACAAAGCAGACGGCCGCGCTACCTGTTGATGAGAGTCAGGTCATCCCCGCAGACGGAGATGCCCTCTGGGCCGATGCCGACAGCCAGCTTCTGGCCCGTGGCGTCCCGCGCCCAGTGCCATTCTACCCCGTAGTGCTCCAGCGTGGAGACTAGCTGCAGGGCCTGGTACTGCACCGCCTGTGCACTCAGTCCCGCCAGGGCCTTGTGCTTGGAAATGATGCTGCATGAGAACAGGACAGAGGAGGTCAGCATATACGAGACAGCAGGAGCAGCCCACCCTGCCCTGCCCCCTCCAGTCATGTGACCAGCAAGGAACTCCCCCGCTTGTGAAAGAGCAGTTCAGTTAAAACAGAGGTTATACACTATATTGGCAAAAGTTTTGGGACACTTGCATGTACATACACAAACTTTAATGACATCCCATTCTTAATATGGAACTGGCCCACCCTCTGCAGTTACTAGATTCAACTCTTCTGGGAAGGTTGTCCACAAGGTTTAGGAGTGTGTTTGAGAATTTTTGACCATTCTTCCAGGAGAGTATTTGTCAGGTCAGGCACTGATGTTGGATGTGAAGGCCTGGCTCACAGTCTCCGCGCTAATTCATCCCAAAGGTGTTCTATCGGGTTGGGGTCAGGGTTCTATGCAGGCCAGTCAAGTTCCTCCACACCAGACTCGCTCATCCATGTCCTTATGGACCTTGCTTTGTGCATGAAATTGTCCAAAATGACTTGAATGCTGCAGCATTAAGAGTTCTTTTCACTGGAACTAAGGGGCCAAATCCAACCGCTGAAAAACAACCCCACACCATAATCCCCCCTCCAAACTTTACACTTGGCAGAATGCAGTCAGGCAAGTACGGTTCTCCTGCCAATCGCCAAGCCCAGACACGTCCATCGCATTGCCAGACGGAGAAGCGTGATTCCAGCTCTAGAATCCAGTGGCGTCGTGCTTTACACCACTGCATCTGAGGCTTTGCATTAACTTGGTGAACTTCCATTCCATGAAGTTCTCTTCGTACTGTTCTTGAGCTAATCTGAAGGCCACATGAAGTTTGGAGCTCTGTAGCTATTGACTCTGCAGACAGTTGGCGACGTCTGCACACTGTGCACCTCAGCATGCGTTGTCCCTGCTCTGTGATTTTACATGGTCTACCACTTCATGACCAAGTTGCTGTTGTTCCAAATTGCTTCCACTTTGTTATAATACCACTAACAGTTGACTGGAATATTTAGCAGCAAGGAAATTTCACGAATGGACTTATTGCACAGGTGGCATCCTACCACAGTGCCATACCTGAATTCACTGAACTGCTGAGAGTGACCCATTCTTTAGAAACAGTCTGCATGCCTAGGTGACCTGTGGCTATGGAAATGATTGGAACACCTGAATTCAATGATTTGCAGGGGTGTCCCCAAAACTTTTGACAATATAGTGTATGAACCAGAAGTACCGCCACAGGGAAAGAATGAGGTCAAGGCATGAAGCGGAGAGGGTCTGAAAACACAAAGCACATAGTGATAATCTTACTGATTAACCAGGCTGTTAGTGTGCAGTTTAACACGTGAACATTCTAACCCCAAAAAGGACCCAGAAACCCTCTATAAGGGGTCTGACTGACACACCCCACTCATCCCGCACTCGTGTGCGTACAGAACACCTCACAGACCCCCAGAACACCACCCCCGTGTTCTGACACAGCCTGACTGCCGGTCTACGCCCAGGGCCAAAGCGGCAACGCTTTCAGGACGCCGGCTGACTCAACACCCCGCTCTCATTTTCCTATGAAACATTTACGTCCCCGAAAAAGGAAATTGACAGTTTGCCAGCAGATTCCCGAAGTCCAGCACAAATAGGAAATAAGCAGGAATATTTCCCATTTATTAGTTCTGACCCGTGGGGGCGGCCTCACCTCTCGATGGCAGCAGCGCCAGGCTCCCGCCCGCAGAGCTCGCAGTACCAGTACTTGGCAGTGTTCTGGTTGTAGTCCCCGAACTCGACCTGGGCCAGCAGCGCGCTCAGCATCTCCGCCTGCTCCGGGCTCATCCGCAGATGCCCGTTCTGAAGGTCCTCCTTGATGTGCATGAAGAACAGGTGCCTGGAGTGGTAGGGGGAGACAGGGGCGGTCAGTAAACAGGGTAATCAGGGGTAGGAGGGCTGAGGTATGCATGTGTCTGTGCCAGTCAAGCAGCCTGTCCTTGGGGGGGGGGGGGCTTGGGGGTTGGCAGCTGATACGTGGAGGGTTTCTGCCAACAGCTGGACTGAACACAGGGGGACAGTGTGACCGCAGACAGTTATAAACAGTCACGACTCGAGGAATCCAGTGCCATCAGCACCCAGGTGGGGTTGAAGGGAGGGCAGGGGCGTGTGCGGGCATGTCACTGGGAAGTGCGGGGGACGGGGAGTCCCGGGTTCGAGCGCATCACGCAGAAAGGGGAGAGCTGTGACCCCTGAACATTCGGGAGACAGCTCACTGCGAGAGTGACCCAGCAAGGACACGGCACAGCCCCCGTCAGAAAGAGCGGCACGCTCGATACCGACGCCCCCGCCCGGACACCCAAAGCTGGCAGGAGGATCTTACACCCCACCCGAAATGAGTCTGTAGGAGGTGCGGCAGCTTATCAATTATTCAGCTTTGCTGCACAAACAGGCTTTCGACCCAGTTTCATTTGGACTGCCTGAGCAATCCCAGCCATGGGGGGGGGTACAGCTACCCCGAAACACAGCCGAACCTCAGGTCCAGACCCCCACCAGGCCCCCTCCCAGACACGCCAACCGACCTGCAGTGACCTCGCTGACCACAGCTGCAGGGGGCACAAGTTAAACCAGATATCTTCCCGTTTTGGGCAGCAAATAAGGTCACAGACACCCCCTGTCCCCACGCAACGAATACTTCCGCCAATCAGATTAAGCGTAACAGTACCCCGCTGTACAAGGAGCCGTCTGGAGGGAAACGTGAGCTGCTGCTGGTAAACAAAAGGACACGCCCAGGGGTTACTGCCGGACACGCCGCCACCGCGCCCAACCAGCCTTTCCAGCCCCCCCCAGTGCCACAGAATGTTTATGCATGACTTTGACGGAAAGTCATGACACAAGCAGCACATAGTGGCGCCGGCGGTGGGAGGATCTAGGCAGGCGGGGGCAGCAGGCTCTGTAGGACGCCTGGCCAATCCTGCACCTCGGCTGCGGAGAAACGCCATTGGCCGACTAATCTGTTACCTCAGAGCTCCCCCTGGCTCCACACAGGCCACTCTGTATTTTCGGGTTCACGGGACCCATCAGTGAACTAGAACATTCAGCTGTCGCTTGGTCCCCCACTCGTGTGAACCCCCCTGCACCGTCTCACCACGGAGATTCTCAGTCACGCACTTCCTGTTTACAGCTGCTCCGAACCCGATGGCCACGTGACGCTCACCTTTGAGCAGAGATGCTTTTATGGATATGATGAAAGATCAGTGATACCTTCATGCCTCTAGGATCACAGAGACCGGCAGACCGACCAAATACATCCACGCTCTTAAATAAAAAATAAATGAATAAAGCGCGTGTAGATTTGCCTAAACTGATTCCTCAGGCCGGACACCTGCTTTCTGTCCGACACAGCACTCACACACAGAACGGCTACTTTGCCTCAAGATTCAAGATTCCTTGCACAAAAAAACAGGTCAGACGAACTGAAAGTCTCCTTGAGTGACTTTATAGCCAGACAATCTGCGCAGAACAGAGTAAACTACACCGAAGTCCGGACTGAGCAGAGAGATACCCTCCCCACGCACGGAGGCAGTAAGCCAGCCCTATCGCTCTCCAGGAAGTTCAAAGCCGATGGGAAGGGGACACAGAGCATGAGGAACACGGACTTGCTAATTCTACTTAATCCTGCTGCAGGCCAGCTTGGGTACAGGGTGTAAATCTGCACTTATGCCCAGTCGACTCCTTGACAGCATGCATGTCTGTAATGCACCTTCTGCCTTAATTGCACGTCCCTTTGGACAAAAGGGACTGATAAATAAAGGCACGCAGGCAGGCGCTTGCACAAAGCAGAGGCTCCAGGCTGGCATGTCATAATCTACCACACATAACGGCAATGCAGCAACCATGAGCACAGATCCGGAATAATTTGATTACCAAGCTCAAACTGCTTCATGGGTGGAAAACGGGGTCAGTTCAATAGAGAGGGAGCGAGAGAGCAACATCACAAAGGCAACAGGATGTGTCAGGAGGCTGAGGCACCCCAGCAAAGGCGGGATGTGGTCCAGATGTGTCCTTACATGACCGACACCATGTGGCGTCCCCAGGACTAAGGTTCCATTATTCAAATCACACACATATTCCCAGGAATTATCAAACAGCCATCCATGTTACCATTAATTAAACACATTTTTAATCAGGACTCAGGCACACGGTGGAGTCCTGAGCTTCATCCCCACCCCACCCCTGATTCCCAGTCGAACATCTGTCTTAGCACCGCTCAGATACACCCTCAGAGGGCGCTAATCACACCAGAAGGTGGCACAATATGGTGGTTTGGAACAATGGGCTCCGCTGAAGGGACAGAATCTCGGCACCACAGGGGAGCGTCTTCAACGATTCTGGGGGTGCCTATTTATCAGGGCCAGCCTCGGCAGCGAGCTACAAGAGGGGTGTGTGTGTGTGTGTGTGTGTGTGTGTGTGTGTCTGTGTGGAGTTTCCAACAGGAACACGTAGATCTCCACGTAACGCCCCGAGCGTGTATACCACCCTGTTAGCACCCAAGCAGGAACTGCAAAAGCCTCACTCTTCAACTACACAGAATCCCCCCCCCCCCTTCACCAAGGGCCGAGCCACATGCCTAGTGACTGGACCGGGCCGGCCAATCAGAAGACGAGTTTTGCGATCTGTGGGCGGCGTGCTAACAACGATGCTTCAGAGCGGATGGGCGGCATGGCCCCGGGCTCTCTGGCAGAGGTTAGAGAGAGTCAGTGAACTCCAGTAACACTGGATGATCTCACTCACCTAGTTACTGCTAACGATCGCTGTCGGGCAGACAAGAGGCTCACTGTTAGTCAGAGGCGCCATAAGGACGGCAAGCGGACCAACGGCGTGGGTTTTGCTCCGGTGGACTAGTGTACTCACCAACACGTCGACCCAGAACCCCACAGACACACAGGGGTGAAGTGCCCAAGGCAGCCTCAACCACAGAAAGATTGGGGGGGGGGAGATTAACAGGCACCCCAGAGTTCCAGCTAGACTCTCCTGCCCCGGCTGCTTGGGCTGACCGAGGACAGACGCAGCCCAAGCAGCCGCCAACACGCCGCTCACTCCACACCGTCCATGCCCGACGCATGAAACCAACCCGCGCACAAGTGCAGGAAGCGCAGCAGAAGAGCAGAGGGAACAGGCCGGCGACATGCGGAAGCCGGGGGCCTAACCCGACCTCGTGCTGCCGCGTCCCCTGGCAACACCAGACGCATAACTTCCTGCTAAGCCACCAACAGCTTGCTATGAAAACGTGGATGGGCAGAAAAGGCCCAGTTCAAGTGGAAAAACGAGGACAGAAGACACCACGAAGACCACGAACACCCCACCCCAAAAAAAAAAAAAAAAAAAAAAAAAACGCAACAGCGCATGCCGCAGAGAAGCTCTGTGTAGCGTGCGCATTAAAGAAAGCGCATGTCAGCAAGAAACTGACATGTGCAAATCGCAATAAATGCATGTCCTACACAGGCTCTGTAACACGCATATTAAATGTGCATGTCGCTGTAAGGTCTTAATAGTGGCAGCACGAGTTCCTTATGCTGGATGGCCGCCTGCGCCATGGAACACACGCATACTAAATTAGAAACCGGACGCTGCCCCCCCACCGGCCCTGCCATCTGTTTGAGACCGCTCCGTTCTGCCAGGGGTCAGCCAACGGCTGGGCACCCAAACGAATTACTCAGCAACACCCCCCCCCCTCCCTCCCCGCCAACTCTGACTGAACAAAAGGCATGCGTCCGGCCCCCAGAGGGAGGGGGGACGGGTTCAACACGAAGCGGGGCCCCAGGCTCACTGTGACACTGGTGACCCGCCACGCCGAGGCGTGCTGAGACACGGACCGCGGTATCCATGCAGGATTTGGATATCGCAGGACGCTGAACAAAGGTAGGAGAGACGGGAAAACACCCCCAAAATGTCTCAGACACAAAATAGCCCTGTCAGGCTGTGAGCCACGCCAAGTCCGATCTGAACGTTCCCTAAGGGGTATTCCACAAAGCAGCTGCATAACTTAAGCTAAATGGGGGGGGGGGAAACTGTCCAATAGTGGGGGCGATAAGTGACATTCCTATTGGACAATCCTTACATTTATCTTAAATTATTAGGCTAATGACAAAATCCTGTTTTGTGGAATAACCCCCCCCCCCAAAGTGAAAACAAAACAAGACAGCCTCAGGCAAGAAAGGAAAAACAAAAAGGAGGAAACATGAAGCAAGCATGCTGCAGAGAGCAAAGAAACCTGAGCACAGAGAGGGGGAGGGGCTCTGACGCCTTTATGCTCAGTAATGACCTAAAGTAACACCGAGGGACCGGGGTTACTATAGGGCGCCGTGCTGTGAAGGATACTTTCAGCTTCACAAGGAAGCAGTTTGTTATTCAATTACACCCAGTGGTCTGAGGCTCTGATGACAGCGCAGGTTCATCCACCTCATCATAAGACAGCACTGCAAAGACGTCGTCTGTATTTAAGCGTCCGTCATGTCAGCTCTGTCGTATGTGAATATCTCTTTTAGACCATGAAGTTTAAGTAATCCCCCCCCCAGTTGGAAAATAAGCCACACTAGAGCACTTCACCTGGTCTGCTCCTGCAGGATGAGATGGGGCTCCACAAAGTACTTGACTCGCAGCTTGAGTCTGCAAGGAGAGACACTGTCCACCTGCTGCGAGATCCTGTTTCGGAGATTCAGCCACAGGCTCTCTCCTTTACAGCCGGAATACTGCAGTCCGAAGTAATCCACTTCTATTATTCCCAGCTTCCTACATACCTGGGGGGGGG